TCTAAGCACGCCTTTAGCGCCCGTTGTATTGGTGCGTTTATTGGAGGTGTTCTGAACATATGATACGTAAGACGTTTGGTATTTATATAAAAATCCTAATAATTTCATAAATGACGTTCACTAGCAGAGAGGAAGCTGAAGTTAACTAGCGTTCTTTTCTACCGTTAGAATACATTTGAAGAAACAAAATCAAAAAGCCATTCGTTTAATAATGTTATTTGTAAATAGGCCCTCATAATCAGGATTTAGTTTTCGTCCTCCCAGATCACATGGATCGTGAGCATAAAACAAACAAGCATTATCCGTTTTTCGAAAAACGACGGCTAAACATTGTTTATCGTCTGAACACAAACATTTACAGGCTTGTCCGTCGATGGCTGTACTATTTTCATAGTGTGTAGTAACTGATAAGAACTGAGTGTTGTTAAAAAACTGATAGTTACCAGACATAGTACTACTACCTTCTNCAGGATTTAGTTTTCGTCCTCCCAGATCACATGGATCGTGAGCATAAAACAAACAAGCATTATCCGTTTTTCGAAAAACGACGGCTAAACATTGTTTATCGTCTGAACACAAACATTTACAGGCTTGTCCGTCGATGGCTGTACTATTTTCATAGTGTGTAGTAACTGATAAGAACTGAGTGTTGTTAAAAAACTGATAGTTACCAGACATAGTACTACTACCTTCTCTGACTGTTTGGGAAACTCTGCTTCCCACTGCTCGTTTGACTTGTGCATGAAGAAGAATATGTTTTTGACAATGAAAATGAATCACAATAAAAGAGTAGACAAATTTTATTAACATTCTAATTCAGCGAAATGTTTGTCTGAAAAATAAACGATTTTTGAAGCAAGAAAATTTTGATGGACGGACTGTCGTGCGAACATAAATTTTCAATCGAGTAGTTCTTCGACTATTTAGATTTGTCGATATCCATTTTTCGACTAATCGTGATACTTGCGATTAGTATTCCAGTAGTCAAAATACTGATTATTAAATGATTGGCCTGAAAATGGTACTTTGATTAGCGGCAGAAATAGTAAATCGCAGAAACGATTCTATTTATCAAAAGAAAATGTTGCTAATTATTTTCTATTCTAACATCGATGTAGAAAAACAACAATGTGCTGAAACACAGAACAAATTTAAATTCATAGAAATGAAAACAAATTGTAAGTATGACCATATGGCCATATCATGATTTTATTCTACTTTCTAGATATAATTTTTATTCTTTCGCCTTCTACGAGAGTAAAAGTCTAACTCTATATATGTGGACGCTAACGTCTCAGAATCATCGAAAGAGTTGATGAGATGAAGTTGAATAGCGTATTTTGATGTTATATAGTAAGGGACAGAGGTTATAAGTGAATTGAATACTTCAGTGAGTAAAATATATAGCAGTCTTTTTAAATTACTTTTAACTGGATTCTGTGATCTATTAAACGAAAAGGCTCAATCCAGCAAAGAATTCGTCTTGCTGCAAGCCAAGCCCTAGAGGAATATTTAGGTAAATAGGTATAGTAATGGATGTGACAGAAGACCGTTCAGTATTTTGTGTTTTTCTTCTGTTTATTAAGTGCGATTGTGTTGGTCTTCTTTTCATTAGATTCTCTGTTGAATTCTCTACAAAAAATGTGTTGAGTGTCTTATTGCAGAACATGAAGGCGAAAAATGACAAAAAAAATTGTGCGAGGTACCAAAATCGACAAAAAATAGGTTAAACAAAAAATAGGTTCTCCTTTTCAGAAATAGGAGAAAAACACAAAATACTGAGAGGTCGGTTGCTTCTGGCCCATCCATTACTATACTTATTTACCTGAATGATTAGTCTGTATTGTCAGATCACTAAGAGTTGACAAAAATTTCTTTGTTATAGCACGTAGAAAAAGGTTCAAATTTTCGCTGTTTTCGCTCAATCTGCAAGAAGCCAACCTTTGAGCCAAACATTTTAATTCAAATAAATTTTTGTGTATGCGATGCGAATGAGTGCTCTTGAAATTACACAAAAATATATTCCGACCGCGTTTTAATGCTTGTGAAACTATTGGAAAAAAACTAACTCTGTATGAGAACATACGTTAATTTTTTTTCTCCATTTTGGTACCTTACACAATTTTTCTTGTCATTTCACCTTCCTATTTTGCAATAGTCTTATTCTAATACTCGATACGTCTTTTGTAGAGAATTTAACGGAGAATTTATTGAACAGAAGACCAATACAATCTGACTTAAGAAACAGGAGAATAACACAAAACACTGAGAGGCCGGTTTCTTCTGCCACACCCGTTATATGATTTTTTGTGTAACAAAATTGCGATTAAGAAAATAACTTTTGTAGTGTTTACTGAGGTTCACGGAAGTTTTTTCTCCCGTTTTGTATGAGACTGGTCTGGGTACGGTGCAATTCGATCATAATCACAAGTAAAACAATTACTTGTGAACATCAGCGTTTCACTTATCTATAGTATTTTTCATATGTTTTACGAGATAAGTGACTGTCCAGAAGTTTTGGATTCATAGAGAAGATGACAATAAGCCTCTACTAGAGGTGAGCGGTATGAGGTTTTTTGACGTTTCGTCTTATACTGCCAAAATTTTGTAAGGTACATCCCGTTCTGCATGCAGATTTTTTGAAACTCGATTTAACTAGGTTAGAGTACTGCTGGTTAATCTAAACCTAACCTAACCTATAGGTTAGGATTAGGTTACGAAGGTCGTAAGTTAGGATAGGTTTAGGATGTAATTACCATGGTACCAATGATATAATTGGGCGTAATTAAAATGGATTGTTTCACCTAGAGTAAGATTCCGCTATATTTTTAAAGTTTTTAATCAAAACAAGTATTGTTACACACCTCACCATGGGCGGATACCTATGTTCCGGTCATCTTTGAGGTTCCTCGTAAGTCATCCCATAGCGATCCTGGGACTCTTGGAAAATTTGATGCCATGCTAAACAACTAAAAGCGAAGGTATCACCTTGACGCACCAGTTTTTGAAATATACACTGTAAAAAATAAAGTGTACCCGCGAGTGTGCATTTCGAGTCCAAAGTGATGTGCAAATTGTCACTGTGTAATCTGAATTTTTATCTTGCGTACCTCTATGGAAAAAAAACGGAAGAATTATTCTTCTCTTCGGTCTTTTTTCTCTGTGGAATTCTGTCTGTGGAAGTATATGAGAAAAACGTAACTTTCTAGTACAATCACTTGTTTAGATATGTTTCTATAATAACTCAGGTTACAAGAGGCTCGCTTGAGCAAATTTTTTGCCTAGTACTTTGCCCACTTCCACAAAAATTTTCTACTCAATACGTCCTTTCGTTGCAATGTTATGGGGCTCGAAAGTTGAAAAAACTTAATTTTCTGATGACTCATCATCTGAAAACTGAATTTTTGATTTCCGATATAAAAAGATATAAAAGAAAAGGAAAGCAGCGCATCCTGTAGAGAATTGAATGATGAATCTAACCATATGATTAGTGTTCAACTTTGTTTACTTTTTTTTGTTGTTCTTTAGATATAATCATTTTACAAGCATCTTTTCCGTTTTTTATAGATCGACCTTCTCTTATAGTTTTTTCCAAAAGCCCGGCACTGAAGAGATTTTTGGAGTGGCTAATTGTAGATCAGGCGTCGGTCTACAACTCTATTTAAAAAAAAATTCAGTTTGCATGATTTGGTAGAGATAAAACAGCTTTCATTCTTGCGGAAGTCAATTTCCGCTCTAAATGTAGACTGACTTTTCGCAACTTGTTTTGCTTAGAATTAATGAAGCATGCATTCGTTATCGATGAAACTTCTACACTAGATAGAGCACCAAAAGTTGTACTAGCAAAAGTAATTTCAGATCGAATCCTCATTTTGTTTCTTATTATTTTTACATTATAGGGGAAAATGTAGACCGACTTTTGTTTTTAACTAAATGTAGGTAGACCAACCTTTTTTCGTGAGATTTTTGGTCAAAGCTAAACGAAAACCATCAATACCGTACTCCAGTCGACTCCTCAGACTGCGACGAGTTTGACTACCTAATTTTTAGAGCTCTAAAATCTATAGTCTTTGCTAAAATAATGGATAATTCTGAAAGCAGAATCACATAACGAAATTCGGACTTTTTAGATTTTAACACTAAAGAAAAACTTTTCTACGGTTTTTCGGCTTGACGCATTTGCTCACAATCCCACTGTATTTCTCGAATCATTCTCTGTCGAACGACGTAGAATACATCTATTTCAACCCTTTTTCTAGCAAAATCCTGCCAAAAATTCTCTATGGCAAAAACTGAAAATTGTCTTCCTCCTAACTCAGCCAGTATGAGTCTGGCAGTTGGGAAATTTTTATAGGATACTCGGCAAAGACAGGGAAACAAAACGTACCATTCAAATATTTTTAATGAACACTTTCATTATTTTTTATTGATTGTACCAGAAAGTTACGTTTCTCTCATATGTGCAATTCCGGTGTGTTACAGGCACACTGAACAAGTCATTTTCAGTGTGCAAAAACAGTCCAACGTGATGTGCACATTCATTGTGCCCCGAGTACACTTTATTTTTTACAGTGTACAGTAGAATTATAGGTGAACTTTATTCTTTTCAGAAGAACTTTGCATGTTTTCTCTTAGAGAGTGATCACTCAAACGCCCGAGGAAATTAACGTAACATCATTGTTTTCTGATCGCAAGACCTGCAAACTAAAACTTACTTAAAATTTATAAAGAATTCAAATGCGAGATTATTGTGTGCTTCCTATAAGAATTCTGCTGGGTTCAATAATGGAAAACCTGCGGAATTTTTGCGTGGATGTTCCCTAGGGTAGTGTCTTTTACTTTTCTTCAGCTCATAAAATCGAAATTTAATAAATTTAATTTATTAAATACGCAAATACATAAAAAAATTACGTCAGAAGAGAAGCTTCAAATATTATTTATTTGATGATTAGACAATATTGCCAAAAACAAAAAAAAAACTAGGACGGTCGGTCTAATGTTCAATTTACTGCTGTAACATCGACAATACGAAATGCTTCGAGAAATTCATTAAAATCTATGCTACCATTTTTATCCAAATCAATACTTGTTGCCAAATCAATTATTTGTTTGTCATTGAATAATGAACCATTATGATGATTAAGAAATGTACACACATCTGTAAATTCTTCTATTGATATACAACCTATGGAAAAATAAAATTAAACAAAACGTATAGTATAAATTTATTTATCGTATATACCTGAGCTATCTTTGTCTATTGCTCGAAAAACGCTTTCTAATAGTTCTTTGTTACGATAAATCGTTTGACATACACCAGGATGTCTCTAAGAAGAAAAAATTTTTTTTTTCTACTTATGTAAACAGTATTTTCGTGATAATATAACAGACATACCTGAGATTTAGTTACGTTTAATAAATACTGCAATTCGTATGACTTGAACGTTGATTCATAGATAATTTTTGTATTATCTGTTGCATTTACTTCAACTAAACGCGATCGAAGTGTTCTCCATGGAAGTTTTAAATTTAAAACATTCGTGACAATGTCACACCATTCATTCAACGATATTTCACCTTTAAACGTAATAGAGAGCAATTTATAATATATTTTTCAACAAACTCACTCCTATACCTGTTTTATGGGGATCGTGTTGTTCAAACTCCTTCATTAATAATGTTTCATTCGCATAGAATTTTTTTAATAAATTGTGAAGTGCGTCTCCTTCAACACGAGATACTCTAATAAATATACAAAAATTATAATAAGTCACGTTTTTCTTATAAATATACTTGAGAAAACTAGTAGTAACGAAATAAATAATACTGTAAATTTTTCTCCTCTAAGCCTTATTGAACAGTACAGTTTAGAACATTATTATACATTCTTTGACGATAAAAATTATTACAGTATTAAAATTCTAATATAATAATAATTAAATTCATACACACTACCTTTCCCATATCGTAATCGGTCTTGTGCTCGCTTTTGTCACCATGAATTGAACAATAATTGGTGGCATATTTGGACATATTTTTACATATGCTCCTTTGTTCGATCCGGTTGAATAGTAATTGGACGCGGAAAAAATAGTTAACACCTTCTTATTATGACAATAGTCGAAACCCTCTTGTTTACATTCGTGTGATCGTATTATAAGAGTCCAGTTATGTTTTTCCATAATCTTCTCTGTAATGTCTTGTCCAAAATAGCATCCGCCACCTCTATAAATATTAGGTATACAACCATCTTGGGCTTGTGGATCACTCCAAAGCATATCTAGCAGCTAGAAATAGAATATTTCATATAAAAAGACTAGAACTCATTTGTTTATATTACCTGTCTCCATTCGAGTAAAATTTCTTTTGACAATTCTTTAATATGACACTGATCTTCGGATGGAATAGTAAAATCTGGACTCAAAACAGATATATACTTAAAGGAAAATAGAATGTTGATATGATATCGATGTAAATCACATTGATGTAAATGTAAAACCTACTTTATGACGATTAATACCTTTGATTATATTCAAATCCGTAATATCTGAAATGCCTCCATGTGTAACAAATATTTTTTCATCGATAACGCTTGCTAATGGCAACCAGCTATATATATCTTCAATTAGACGCAAAATTCGTGTAGCATTCGCCTTGTACTTATTTATCACTTCTTTCAAAAAGCCATATCTATAAGTGTATAGTACATAAAGCTTCCTCACGATGGCTAGCATGTAAAAAAATTTACCTTAAATTCATCAAATGATCTTCATGATTCCCTCGATTAATAAATACTTCATTTGGATAAAGAATGAATGATAAACTTATTAATAGAAACACTTCAATGCTATGAGCACCTCTATCAACAATATCCCCATTATAAATATATGGATTATCTTCGGACGGTAGACCATTCTAAAATTCAATATAGTCCAAATTTTCTATATTATTGACTTTCTATATAAATTTACCTTGTGAAAAATAATCATTAGATCACCAAGATTCCCATGAAGATCACCAACAACAGTTACGAGATTTGTTCTTGTTGTTGAGACATTATTAATATTTGGTAATTTTTTTAATAATTTTCGAGCTTCATGTAGAATCAACAACACATAATGAGCGTGTAATATCTCTCCTTTTTGAAATGAATTAATTAGAATTTCAAATTGTTTTTTATCAAACGGCAAATGAAAATGTGGACCCTTGCTTAATAAATCAACAGAGACCGTATCTGGCGATGTTATTGCTACAAGTTCTTCATCTTCTGTTTTCAAAAATTTTGGAAAAAAAAGAAACAGTATGTACGTAATTTGAGATATACATAAAAAGTTATTTCCGGACATACCTACACTGGGTGTTCGTTGAAGAGCTCGAGCTACAAGAAGTGCATCACGTGTATTTTGCGATGAAGCGGCTTGCATCAGATCAAGAAAAAAGTTGTATAACTTGAAAAAAATGTAACCAATTAAGATCAATGATGTAATTGTCTCAAACTTTTTACCTTCACTTGAGTTTGCTCTCCGGCATATTCAATATTTTGATATATATTCCAGGCCGTTCTCTTACGCATTTCTAAGAGTGCCCTCTTTCGTCTATACCATTTTTGTATTAATATTACTGCGGCCAAAGCTAGTTTGAAAAAATAAAAAATTGGCCTGTATCTGGCATATGATCATCGGATGAGATAAAACTTACTAATTTCTGACTTTTTATGTGGTCTATGTGATTGTTTTTCTAATGGCTCCAATGCAACTGAGCTTGAGCAACCCATTTTAAAACGACAGTATATAAAAATATAATGACAACTATTAGTCATAGTTGTTGTCCCAAGAGCTATAATGATAAAAATATAACAGGATATTATTGAAATATTCAATATAAATTAATTAATCCTAGTGTCTCAAATTTGTAGCATGAGCTTTGGAAAAGTGCTATTGTTAAATGAAGTTGACGGGTAAACTAGAACCATCTCCTCCAACTTCTATAATTCTTTTTCGATGTAAAACATCTTAGAATGATGTTTCGGACATATTTCATCATTTGGTTTTTAAAAGTCTAGTGTAAACCTGCTTTACGTGAAATAAGGGTATCCTCCCTTTCATTTCTTGTCTTATTACAGAATCGTAACGATTGATCGAGGGAGTTGGAAGGAACACGCTAGTTTTTTAGAGTGTATTCAAGTCTTTTCTGTCGAACGATAAAAATCCGAACTCGCTAGCTGTCTTCAGTCCAAAATTATTGAGAAAATAGTCATATTCATTCTTTTATTGGATGGATAATATAGTCAAATATCTTAGACGATAATAGCTTGGATCCCGTAAAAGTTGGTGTTTTGGAACCTCAAAATCGAAATCCGGTTCTCCATTGAGTTTTCTTATAAATTCTCAATGCGAAGTCAAAGTCACATATAAAAAGAAACGCACAGAGATCAAAAACCAAAATGATTTTGTGTGATGTTCAATGCGTCCATAGCAACTTGAATCGGGATTGTTACTAAGAAGTTATAGATAGTTTTCTCTTACCTTCCCATCACCACACTTTTTTCTCTTTACTTTTTTTATCTGAGAGTACAAAGTTATTTTCTATCTAATAGCTGACATAATCTTACTTTTGTTCATACACCCAAGATTTTTTCTATCCCGTGTGTATATGGAATTATAGGAAAAAACATTTTTTTTTGCCGTGTTCTTCTCTGATGCGCATTATAATTTTTTGTCACGTCTTCATTGAAGAAGAACTAAGAAAGGTATATTTTGTCTCTTATAAATTTAGAAACAGACAAATACATTTGGATAAAATCAGAAAAGATCCCTGGATCCCGTATAGAAAAATTTGAATAAGATCAAAGGCAGTGCGGAGGGCGGCGAGATGGAAGTGAGGAGGCCAACAAAGAAAACAGATTTTTTGTGTGTTTTTTATACAAGTTTCTGTATACAGGTTCCAAAACACCAACTTTTACGGGATCCAAGCTATTACCGTCTAAGATATTTGACTATATTATCCATCCAATAAAAGAATGAATATGACCATTTTCTCAATAATTTTGGATTGAAGACAGCAAGCGAGTTCGGATTCTTATCGTTAGACAGAAAAGACTTGGATACACTTTTTTCTAAGAGTGGTTTTTTTAAAATTTGACTAGTACTGTTTATTTTCGAAGAAATGCAAGATCTAGTAAAAATAGTAGTAAATTAAAGAAAAATACAGATTTTGGACTACTTTGAATACGGTCCATATCTTTAATAACTGAATAAAAACTTATAAACGTGCAGCTTAGGAGAGCACAGTACCTCACGAAGATGGGCAACTCCGAAGTTTTGCAGCTCAACTTCGCATCGATGACCTCTCATCTTCACTTGTTCGATTGTTTTTTTTCCTTTTTTCGAATCAGCTAGAATAAACTTTTATTCTATATACATCTTGATAAAACACAAATAAAACAGGAGAGTAACGTATGCTAAACTAACAAAACATAATGGTACACTCTGTGTTGACGAAACAGAAAATCACTTTTTGAAAATACTCGGTGCAGTAGTGCAGATGTGGCGGATTCCAAAAGTTCCAAGTTGAAGTTGGTCATTTTTTTAATTGAGTTGTTCATCTCTGCAGAGGTGCGGCGGCATCTTGTAATGTAATCGGAACAACTCCTTTTCAAATGCCGATGACTAAAAATTCTTCAATATATATACTCTCTTAGAAAGATGTTTTTATTACGGTAAAGTGCATTATGAAAGGTACACTTTCTTGAAGAAAAGCATAGAGGCCTCAAAAAATACTCTTGAGAGGCTATTTGAAAGAACATAGTGTAAAAACCGTTCACACAACCGGGTGTTTCAAACTATTTGTAACATTATTTCCTTCATGTATACCTATGTTTCAACGCCCTAAGGTTTGTCAATTTGCTTTTCAAAAGATACGTTATTCTATTTTTTCTACAAAATCTTGTTGAACCTATTGTAAAAGAATATGAAGCTAGATTTCTAAAAACCAAAAAATGACACTGAGTACGAAATTTTTTTATATGACATCACAATAAAGAATCATACCAGGGTTTTTGAAAGTAAAACAAATTAGTAAGCTCGAAGAAATTTCCATTGAAAAATGTCAAATATCAATAATCGATAGAGTTTTTCAAGGGCTACACATCGCTGCATTTTTATTATCAATGTTTTGATTTTTCAGTGTCTAGCAGAAAGAATAAAAAAATGAGCGGGAAATAGGTTCACTTCGATGAGTCACAGTACATGACCCAGAGTTGGTGTATATCTTTATTGATTCTGATAAAGAAAAGGTCAGCGGTCAAAGACCATTATGGACCTAACAATAATAAAGATGTTGTCCGTAGGTGCTCACAGAAGGGAATTATGGATAAGAAAAAAAAGAGTA